AAGCAAGAGAGATACACAATAAGAGTCTGCAGCCACCCACCTTGGCTGTCTCCACCTTCAGGGTTAGTCGCTGTCCCTGATCCTCCTCCCCCAAGGGCCTGGCCAGTCAACTGACACACCAACTACCACTGGCAGTGACAGAAATCCCTTTTAGCTTTGAAATGCTCTTTGAGACTTTGGCGACTGGCTTGCAGGGATGGCTCCCTGGAGGCTGGGCTCTGTCCCTTCCAGGAAGACTTGCAGTCAGCTGCCTGCACCTCCTTCCTCTTCCTCAGGGCCAGCTCCAGTTTGGACCTTTGTTTCCTTCAGCAGTAAAAGGTTTCCAAGGACGGCCAAGTATCAGTGGGAGGATGGTACTGGCTGAGTCTGGGCCACTTTCCTCCTGGCCCCACGGGGAGAGGAGAGCTGCCTACCAGCCCTGATTCCCTGAGGCCCCTCCTACCTCAGGACACCTGGGAAGCTGTGCCAGTGACTTTCTGATGAGAGAGTTCCTTGTTGCATATCAGTATGAGAACTGCATCAGCACCCTTCTGCTGCATAGCAGAACCAGCAAGAAATTTGCACAAAGAAAACCAAACAACACCCCAGTAAAAACACAGGAGAAACCTTGATAGAAAACGTCTGAAGAGCAGTCACATTTTCACATCAAGAAACAAAGGGAAGAATTTCTTCCAGGTGATGTTAAACGGCTAAAGGAAGATGGATGAAAGTCTAATTTATCCTATTTTTATCAAGAAAGGCCAGAACAGCTTCTCTGTATATGAACCTTTAGATCTGTATCGGATAAATGAGAGCATAGGGCTTTGACAAAAGAGAGAAGGGATTGCTAGGGCCTTGGGTTTTGATGATGAAATATTCGGCTCCCAAGTAATGAGAGTCACTTTGACAAAATTCATTTCAAATACAAAAAGTATGAGCGAGGAGACATGGAATAACAACATTCCGGGCCACTTGGGGTCACAATGCTCAGGTTTGTTTGCTCACTGCTGCCAAATCAGAGGAGGCCACACAATTTGGGAAAAAGGAAAAAGGATTTGCTCAAAGCTAGCTCCAAGCAGGTGGAGGGGCCTGCAGGTAGGCAAGGGCCTTCCATAGTAAGGAGCAGACCCCACGCTTGCTTCATCGCCTTCAGCTGTCGGCCGCTCGCTGACTCCTTGCTGGTGGAAGCACCTGGGTTCCGGCCTCCTGGGGCTGGTTCCGACAGTTCATCAGACAGGGCAGAGGAGGCGGGCGTCAGCTATGTGCTCAGCAGAAGGAGGCTTGGAGAAGAGACTTATCTCTGCAAGAAAGAAGTCTGACTTTTAAAGTTCTATTTTGCATTGCCGGTACAAGAGGAGCTGCTACTCCTGGAGGGAACCTCAACTGGGGCAGCCGGAGGGACGAAATTAAGAAATGAAGTTAACGAGGGACTCAGTGCGTCACTGAAATGGGGGAATTTCTTCTTCAAAAACGACCAGAAATGTCAAGCAGTGAGCATGAAACCCAGAGCAGGGCACTCCTGTGAGATCAGGCTCTCTGGACTATTAGTGCCCAATTCTTATAACACCCCGGTGTCACTGTCCTCTGTACAGATGAGGACACTGAAGCCCCAGGTGGTTTGTGCACTTGACTGTGGTGGGTGGCAGTGTCCCCATGCACAGCCAGCCCCTCGGCCCAGTGTTAATCCTGGAACAGAGCTCTTCCTCTGAGCCAGGGCGCCACGGCCGCTCTTGTGGGACAGCTCAGTGGCCCACTGCTCCCATTGCAGACAAAGAATCCAAAGGCATTGTGGGAAGGTGTCCAAGGTCCCAAGGTGAGGAGAACTGCCGTGCAAATGTCCTGGGCCTTTGCTACCACGCACTGGGCGACTTGGCTGCTGCTCTGTAGAAGTAAATAAAAAGTTATTTTGGTGTTGTTTTGTTTTTGTTTTTTTTTTTTAGTTCTAGCCTGTGGTGTTTGTTCTTTTACTTTTGGCATTTATGTATTATTTTTATCAATACAAATTTGTAGTTTGTCATCAGTGTTTACATTCCTTGCCCCGAGTTGGTACCTGTACACAGCACGTCTCAGTTCCCTTTTCATCCCTTTCCCTCCCTTCTCTCTGCACCCCTCCAGCTCTTCATACCCTTCCCCTGTGAGAAGGATCCATCTCCCTGCTTCCTGTCATTTTATGCTTTGCTCTTTATTTATACTTTGGGTTTCTCATGTAAGAGAAACCATGTGATATTTAAGCTCATGAGTCTGATTTATTTTACTTAACGTTATGGTCTCAAAGTGCATCCAATTTCCTACAGAAGGCCCAAGTTTTACCTCACTGAAGTTCTGGAAGTTTCCCCCAGTAGAGTCAGTGACTCGGGGGAGACACTGCCGAAGGGGGGGCGAAGACACAGCAGGTGCCTGCTTTTGTTAAAACGCGCCCTCCTCCTTTCCATCCTGCTCCTTGGCTTTCCTCTTGGCTCCCTTCCCCAGCTGATCCGCTGTCCCCTGCTGATCTCACTCCACCAAGAACTTTGTTGTCCTTCCTTGCTGTTTTACTTTCATACTGTGCTACACAGTTCAGTGTGTGCAGACGCGGAGATGGAGGCTGCTTTGTCAGTTTCCTGAGGATAAGATAATGCTGTACGTGCTTTCCTCCATGAACACCACTGGGCAGAAATCTTCCCCACCCGCAGATACAATGTCGGTTCATTCTTCGAGGTGAGACTACAATTACTTATTCAGTATCTCTCATTCAGAGACACTAAGGTTGCTTTCCTTCTGAGAAGATGGAAATAAGGATCCTCCTTCCTGTGTCCCTACAAACAGGAGCTTCTATTCCTGGGGAGCGCGTTTGTAGGGTACACTCGAATAGTGTATCGTTTCATATGGGGCGACGTAGCTGAGTTATAAAAAGCCAGTTTCCAAGTCCTTCTTCCATGTATTTATCCACGAAAATGCCTTTCCCGCCCCACCCCACCTTCACCAGGTATTATGCATGTTTTCAACTCATCCGCAGCTTGATGGATGTCAGGTGTCTCGGGAGGAGGACGGCAGAGAAGGTGGTGCTTTGGGCTGAGGAGCAGGAGCAGCAGGAAGGACAGGGGCTCCCGAGTGGGGGGCGCTGGCTGCTTCCTGAGCCCTCTTCAGCTGGATTTCTGGTAGAGGTAACTGTGTGGGCCCCGAGCACCTGGAGAGGACAATAGCTCTTGAAATACTAAATGATCCTAAACTTTAGTATTTTGTGATGCAATATCTTGTAATACACACATCACAGAACACATGTGTACATATATTAAGAAAAAACATAAAACTAACATGAACCTCTTGGTGCCAGCATTACCGGTGTGGACTGGGGATCGCAAGGTCTTTCCAGAGCAGGGACGGTGAACCTTTCAGAGACCGAGTGTCCACACTGCAGCCCCAAACCCAGTTAGGTATCGCAGGGCCGGTGCCGCAATTCAACCCGAATCCCAGGGTTTTAGATAGTAAAGCACAACTGTTATCTGATGGTCGGCTGCAGGGCGGCTTGGCTTGCTTGTGCCTGCTGCACACACGCGCCGTGAGTTCACCACCAGAGTCCCGGAGCACACGGCTTGGGGCGGCCTTTGCACACTCGCTTCCCCCTTGAGGAATTGTGCAAGGTGCAGGGATGGGACTTTCGGCCGCCGCGACCAAGGAGGGGTTGGGTTATGATTTGATTTCATATCAAGAAAAACTGCCTCGGACCATTCACCCGCCGCGGAGTCGGTTTCAGCGTCATGCCACGACACACGCGTGTGGCCTTCTCTCTGCACCCTGTGGGGGCATCTGTAATCAGTGTGCAACAAATGCCAGCGGCGGTTACTGTGTGATTTGCTCTCCTGTAATCGTTTGCTTGTCTTATTTTGTCAATATCTGGAAGCGTTGCCTTATTCCTTGGCCCGTGGCCGTTCCATGACATCCTGGAAAAGATGGTGGACGACACCGTGGAACTCCCCCAGGCCCAGCCTCTGGTCCGACACGGATGAAGAAAGAGGAAGTGAGGAAAGGGTTCCTTAAAAACCCGGGTGTAGGCAACTCACTCCGGATGCCTCTTAGAGGTGAGGGGGGAAAAGATCAGGGGAAGCCCAGAGTGGTGCTGCACTCCTGTAATCCCTGCACTTGGGAGGCCGAGGCAGGAGGATCACAGTGAGTTTGAGGCCAGCCTGGGCTACATAGTGACTTCAAGGCCGGCCTGAACTACACAGTGAAACCCTGTCTCAACCCCCTTTCCCCCCAAAAAAGAAGCAGTGGAAATAAGCATCATTAAAGTCTCATGATTAAACTCATTTTTATTTGAAATTAAAACTGAAATATGGTTCTTGGAATTTTACTCTTTAAAACTCTCTAATGGCCAAATAATGAGGTGACAGCCTTTTACCAGTCAGAGCCACACTTGCATGACAGTGGGAGAATAATGTGAAGGCAGAGAAAATTAGCTCTGTGTCACAAATGTAATTGAGCAAAAGCTGAGAGTGCTAATGAACTCTCTTGCTTAGTGAGCAACATAAAAACTTCATTATAGAAAATGATTTTCCCAAGTCAGAGATTCAGGACCAGGAAAGGGAGGGGCATGGCTCGGCATGGACCCTGAGCTGAAAATCTTGGGGGTCCTCAGAGGGGAACCTTGGACCCTCATCCCACCGAGGTGCTTCCCAATCCAGTACACAGAGCAGCTCCTTGGCGAGCAGCCCCTGAGATGTCCTGGTGACCCCTGCCTCCTGGTGCCTGCACTCCTGTGTCACCTCCCACTTTTGAGTGCGGGCTGGACCTGGGGCCCGGCTTCTAACTCATGACCCGGCAGAAGCCATGGGATGTGCGGTTGTGATTAGGTGGCAGAATGACCGTGGTATCCCTCCGGGTCCTTCTCTGGTTCTCCAGCCTGCTCCCCATGGGAGAGGCCCCTGTGTTCAGGATCAGGTGTCAGACTCTGGTCTGCAGCCCAACCAACTGAGGCCTCCGACAGCCCTGGCCTGACATGACCACAGCCCTGCACAGTACCTGGATTGCACCCTGTGAGAGACCCAGGGCCACAGGTACTGGCTAAGCCATGTCCGGACTCCTGACTCACAGTGTCTGAGACCACAAATGTTATTTGAAGCGCCGAGGTTTGGAGGTCATGTGTTCTGTTGTATCGCTGAAGCCATTCATTGGATGTGTGTGCTGTTAGAGACGTGTATCAATATTCTCATTTTAGCTTCCCATCCACATCTGATCTGTGGGGCCTTGGGTAAGGGACTGAACTTTTCCATGCATTTGTTTCTCCACTGCTACAGGGAAGGGACAAGTGCTGTCTTAGAGGATGGCTGAGAAGGCTGGACAAGCAGATGTGGCAAAGCGCTCAGCACAGAGCTGGTATAGAGCATGTGCTGGTTCTCCTCATCATCCCATTGCTAAGTAAGAAATAGCTCTCACTTATAGTGATGAACAACGATCATTGCTAAGCTTGTGGGACCTGTTGGTGAGGAATTAGGACAGGGTCCATGGGGGTGACATGTTTCTGTCCCCTGCATGGTATCTGAGGTCTCAGTTGGTCAGCTGAGCAACCACTACATAAATTATTCCAAACTTAGTGGCCGCCAAGAACACACACTTGACATTTCACAGCCTCTCTGGGTCTGTTGATTGGGGTAGGGTTGGGCTGGGTTCTCAGCTCAAGGTCTCACCACACTACAGTTCAGTTGTCACCTGGGGCTGTGTCCTCAGTCGTGGCTCATCAGAGGCTCAACTGGGGGAACAGTCCACTTCCAACTCCTGCATACTGTTGCAGAGTCAATCTTCTTGGAGGACAGAGTCCCTGTTTTCTTTCTAGCTGTTGTTTGCGGGGGGGTGTGTTTTGCTCCTAAGGTGACCATTGTGAGGTTTCCTGCCAGTGGCCTTCCCCACTGGCAGCTGGAGAGCCTGGAGGGGAGAGTCCTGCTCCTGGGTGCTCAGGCAGAGTCATGGAGAGGGTGACGTCATCGTGAGTGGCATCTTAGCACCTTATCATTTAGTGTGCTCTGCCAGGGAAGTCATACCTTATCATTTTCACTGTGTCTAATCAGTTAGGAGCAAGTCACAGGTCCTGCTCACCCTTGTGGGGGGATTATTGAGGCCAGTGACCTATTCACCAGGCCTTGGATGGGAAGACTAAGGTTGAAAAGGCATGTGTGGTTGCGGTGATTGAATGTCTGAGGACTGGCACGATCTAGTAGGGGTTTCTTCACTCACATGAGCTGAGGGTTGGGCTAAGCTGGGACCATTGAGCCCCAGGGTTTTCCATGTGACTTGGGACTTTTACAGTGCAGTGGCTAGGTTGTGACAGGGGATATCAGAAGGGTAAGACTTCCCAGAGAACTGGAGGAATTTTAATGGTCTTTTCTGCCCTAGCCTCGGGATGCACACGGCTTCCTTTCTGCTGCATCCTGTGGTGATGAGTCAGTCATAGGCCAAGCTAGATTCAAGGATGAAGGGGACGAGACCCCTCCTCTTGGAAAGTGCCAAGGCATTCTGTGGATGAGCTTGAGAGTTGGGAAACAGGACTGTCAGGAAATACAGTCTGCCACAGTGTTCAATAACTATTTACTGATAGTAATGATAATACTGAATGCTCCCTCCATTCTACAGAAGAAACTGAGGCTTCTTATCTGCATGCATTTTTCATGCCTGATCTCATTTTTGCTGTATCATTTTTTAATTGAAGCTAGAGGAAACAGAATGTTTTTAGATCTTTGCATTTTAGGCAGGAATGAATTGGTGCACAATTAGCCCCAGAGAACTGGCATTGAGAAGGTGAGGAGTGAGCACCAGATTGGGCCCCCAGGAAAGGTTGTGTGAACGTGCAATACTGGCTAGCCAGAGGAGCTGCCCCTCAGCCACAATCCAGGAGGTGGAATCAAGAGTTTGTTACTAGAATGTATGAACATGGCTGAAACTGCTGCCGTTACAACCACATCCCAGCTCTCACAAAACAGCACACTGGCCAGTCTACTGGCCCCAGCAGGTGGGGACAGTCTACTGCTATGGTCCAAACTGCCTGTTGGTACACCATGGGCTCATTTCTGGACCCCTAGATTCTTGGGTAGTCCTCTTCCATCTGTGAAAACTAAGCAGCAGTAAATAGCCCAAAGCCAAGGTAGATGATTTGACCTTATTTCTGCCTTCAAGATACCGTGCAAGTGCATCAAATTGGCAAATGTAAATTCACCTACCCTCCAAGCTAGCTGCAAGGGAGTCTGGAAATTTTTGGCTTTTTTCCAGGAAGGTACTCTGGAGAGAGATAAGAATTGATGTGTTTCACATTCAACAACTCAGCAAACTGCAACCTTTTCTGACACCATTCCTAGCTTGAGAAATCCTTTACATTTGATGGGTAATAATTGCATTACACAGGCACAAAGTGAAAGGGAATCTGGAATTTGAGGACCTGGCAAAAAGAAACTTCCTTGGCTTAGATCAGCACAGGCACATTGTCTTCCTAAACAAAGCAAGGGTTCTGTAGGCAGGGAGGTAGAAGAGGATCCCTGCTGTGTGTGGCAACTCACATGTGTGTGAATAAGGCAGGGGATGCTTGTATACAGATGGGAAACATGAGTGTGAGTATATGTGTGTCTCTGTATGGGAAGGGCAAGACTGAAGGCTCCCAGTTGGTAGAGGAAGAAGGAAGTATTTCTCCCATACTGGGGCAGATCCACCTTTTTCTGGTCTTCAAGGGAACATATTTTTAATATTAATATGATACATACTCTTCTCTGGATCAGGGTCCTGGTCATTACTCAGCATGGCTTGGAGAACAAGCAGAGAAAATGTGTTTTTAAAAAGGGACAGTATTGGGACACATTGCTCTGTTTCCTCCCACTACATGCTTTCTGGACACATATAAGTCTTCTGAATGCAAGAGTGATCTTGGGTCCACACTCCTCTCTGTTGAATTCTGTAGGGACTGTTCTAAATGTTCTCTGACCTTCTGGAGTTACTGCTCCCATCACAGTGGCTTTCTTCTTGGCAGGTCCCCTGCTTCTCCAGGGAAGCCTGAGGCTGATTACAGCAGCTCCCACTCCACATTTCCCTATAGCCACGTCTCATCCCCTTCTGCTTCTATCCCTCTTTCCAAGACAAACCTAGCTATCTGGTGCTGGCTTCACCTGAGCTTTACTTCTTGCCTCCACTGCTTCTTCTCTGTTCATCTCCCTTTAGCCATCATTATTCAGAACACCTACAGCATTCTAGCAGCTGGTGATATGGAGAAAGGAAGGCCTGTGTGTTAAGGTTTGGTGGTGAACACTGCGGCTTTGATGTGAAATCTGCTTGTTTTAGAACCTAGTTCTACCCTGCACTATGACTCAAACTGTCTATGTCTCTGCTTCCTCATTTTTAGGGGGTGCACATGATGATACTTACCTCAAGCATTGCTGGGAAGGTGTATTATTAGTCAGCTTCACATTTCTATGATGAAAGACCCGAGGGAAGTAACTGTTAGAGAGGAAAGGTTTATTTCGCCCTCAGCTTTGGAGGATCAAAGGCATGAGACCTACATCTACTCAGTCCTGGTAAAGGGGTGAATGGTGGTGTACCAGTAGGAGCAAAGTGGTCACATCTCCAACCAGAGCAGAGAGGGAGAGGAAGAGTCCCGCACTTTCCTTCAAGGGCATGTTCCCAGTGACTTAACTGCTTATAGGTTTTACCGTCTCCCAGTGGTGCCACCATGGGGACCAACCCTTTAACCCATGGGCCTTGGGGGATGTGGAGCTTCCAAGCTACAGCAGAGGGTTAACAAGGGAACGTGTGAAGTGCTTGTAGGACCGGTACCTGGCAAGGTCTTGGGCTGTGGAAACAGGGTCGGCACTTGTTTCTTTTTCGTTTGCCCAGCACATTTTGTTATTGAGAGTATTCTTCTGCTGCCCCACTGTGGCTTGGGAGAGGCTGTCAAGTCGCAGAGTCCACCCTGCCCTCTGGTCAGGGACTGAGCCCATAATCCAGATCTTTCAAGTTGCTTCATGTCCCTGCTGGGGCCTGGCTGTATTTCTATATTCTAAGTTGACTTTTTTAGTTAGTAGATTACTAATGTTTTTCGTGGTGAACCTGTAATTGTGGGGCATTATTTTAAGAGGTGCAGAGCATTCTGGAGTACAGACGCACCATGACTGGTGTCAGATACATAGGTAATTTCCTGTTTTGTTCTTAAAACCCAAATTTAACCATTGACTCTGCTGGCCTCTTTCTAGTTCCCATTCTGTACATGATGTCCCGTTAGTAACACTCCCTATGACATAGTCTCGCCAGTTCATTTCTTTTCTCATCTGATACATACTGAGAGGTACTGACATCCATCTGACATCCATAACATGGCACCTGCTGACTTCTCCCTCTGCATGTGAAACACCATAAACTGGGTCTAAAAGGCAGGCTTTTTGTTGGCAAATGGGTCACAGCTGAGTTCTGGAGCTCATCACTACTAACCGGGTGGCCCCAGGGAAATGAAGGAAACTGGAGCCTCGGCTTCTTTTCCCAGAATACAGGAATAAGGACAACCCCCCCCCCCACGGCCTCCTGAAGGCAATCCTAATCAGCACAGTGGCCTTGTGGGCTGGGAAGGGAGGAGGCTGGAGGAGGCAGCTGTGTCAGCCCCTGCAAAGTGCTTCTGCATTGGAAAGCATGAAGCACGGGCCATAGGACTCTTGGAAATGGGGACAAGTACATCCCCCCATCTGTCCAGCAGCCATTATAGGAGCAAATACCGTGTCCTTGGAGCCTCGCCAGCCACAAAGGGAACACATAAAATACAGGCTGTAGCTCTGGTTCTTAGACGACAACACAGAACGTTTGAGCTCATCTATCTCTGGACCTAGGGCTCCCCCTACCTTTAAACCAGTGTGGAGACTGTCGCAAGTGGTGGCTACTTCACGATGGCTTCCTGGGAGCTCTGTCTCTGTTTGAGCTCAACTGACTTTGAATTGCTTTGCTTTTCTCCATTGCTTGGGGGAAGAATCGCAGCTAAGAACGTGAGCCTTGCAGTGGACACACCTGTGCCGCGTCTGACTTGACCACTTGTAAACTGGGGCACCTCGAGGAGTCCCGCCACCTCTCTGTGCCCGGCAGTGCTCATCTCTGCAGTGTGGAGAGTCCTGGCCCAAGCCTCTTGGAGCCAGGCAAGGCTTTCACTGGAGATCATTTTGAGTGCGCTTAGCCGATGTCTGCTGTGCAGAAGTAGTTCAGACAATGCATGTCTGTATGTGAGTTCTTGTTCTTTCCTGGGTTCTTGCCTGATTGGTTTTCTCTTCTAGTTTCCACAAATCAGGTAGAAGGCCTATCCAATGCTTTGGGGTCTGAGGCCTTTTATGGCTTGGGGTTTAGAGCTGGGCTTTGGGATCAGATTGCCTGAAAGTGATCCTCTCCTTTAACTCATACTTGGTGGGTGGCCAGGCAAGCCATGCAGTAGGAAAGCCCTAGCTTTCTTATCCTGTCAATAATCCTTGTATACACCCCAAAGGTCGCTGCAAGGGCCCAAGGGTCCAACACAGGGCTCGGTGCAGGCACTGCCTCCTGAAAGCCGATCACACTTTACACTGGGGGCTGTCACCCCTTTTCTTCATCCCTCATTTTGAGAAGGGGCTGACAGGTGTGGGCTGGACCTAAACAAAGACTTTGGGGTGAGCGCAGGAAGGAGAACCCAAGCTGTCGGTCTGAGGAGGCCCCTCAAGGAGAGATGCTATGTAGGAAGTCATCAGTGTTGCTTATCGGAAGACGGAGATGCTGACACGGTGCCCTGAGAGTCCTCTCCTCACCGCGGTTGAGAAGGAACCAGATCCTTTCTCAGTATCAAGGGAGAATCTGGAAAAACTGGGTCTTCGAGGTCTGAAGGGTATTTTTCATATGAAGTCTGAGACAGTCACTATTGGTGATGTCTGAAGCAGTTACTGATAATGGTGCAAGCACCACTGAGTCATGTCTGAGAAGCACAGGGATTCACAGAAATAAAACTGATATCCATGAAGGGTGGCACCTGTCTGCTTAGCAATTGGGGAGCTTTTAAAAACTGAATATATTTTTTTTTGTAGTAAGACTTTCTCATGGCAAAAAAAAAAAAAATTCAGGTACTCTTTGGGGTTCAGGATGCACCACGGCAAAACATGACTGAAACCAGACAGTGTCACTCAACATATATTTCCTTGGCATATTTCAAGCTGTTTATTTGGAGAAAGCACAGAGAGAGGCAAGAGCAATGCACCTGTCCAAAGGAAGTAGAAACCAGGAAAGCATCGTGATCAGGAAGAGGCTGCTGTGGGCCGAGGCCTAGCGCCTGAGACAAACTCTAGACGCCAGCAGCACAGCTTGGTCCTCCGGAGTTCTCTCCCCCGCCCTCTGTGGCTTCTTGCTGTCGCTTCCCTCCTCACTGGAGGCCCAGGGAGCCAGTTTCTTTGTGTAACTCAGGGTGCGATGTGAGTCTCACACTGTTTTGGTTTCTCTTGTGCACACGCACAGAATTAAGAATATTTTTTTTCTGTTGATCTGTCTCTTGTCAGTTTATCTTCTAGACACAAGTATCGACTCTTCATTCTGTCCCTTGCAACTGGCACTAAGTTCATTTACTCAATAAACATTATTGCTGTTCATCGTTCATTCTGAGCACCTACTCAGTGTTAGGCACCATCCTGGGGAGGCAGCTATGAGTAAGAGGAGAGAAATCTTGCCGATCTTATGCTGTCCTGGCGAGGAGATGTTGGAGGAATACAATTAAAATCCAAGTCTCCTTTCCAGAAAAGTAGGAGGGAAAGAAAACAGTTTTACCACAGAATGAACATTAAGCCACAGTGTGGTCATGTCACTGGCAAAGGGGCAAAGACCGGAAGAAATTTCACCTTTTTACAAAGCCAAGCAGAGGCAGCCGATTCAATTCTCATGCTGAAGGCCAAGGGTGAGCAGTCCACAAGTGAGAAGACATCATTTGTCACAGACACTCAGCTCATCTTAAATTACCCTGGCCACTGGGGTGGGTGTCTGTTTGCTAATTACAAGAATCTGCATTCAAAGGTACAGCAGACTTTTCTCTACCGAAATCATGGCTGTAGCTTGGACCTGGTCACCCAAATTTGCTTCTCATTTGTACTAGGAGATGGGGTCCATGTTCTTGGGGTCTGCATTTCAGGAAGGCTCACAGACTCCTAAGGAAAAAGTGTTCCTGGTTGAGAAAATCGACAAGATGCTTATTTAGCCTTTGAAAGATTCACCTGTATCTCAAAGGGCCAGAGAAGGAATTTATAGTCACAGATTTCCTAAAGCAAGTGCTGGTCTAAGAAAAAGAGAGGGGTTATTTCCATTTGAACCAGGGAAAATTAACTTTGTGTTTGTGTGTGTGATTTGTATTTATATTTCTAGAGCGCTGCACTAAACAAATACACACTAGAATGTCAGGTGGCAGGAAATGCCACGAGGGAGTAGAGCAAGGGACCAGGGAGTGGCAGGCAGGACCATGTTAGCTGGGTTCCCCAAGGCTCCCTGGAAAGGTGCAGTACAGCCTGGAGCAAGGCTGCTGGGGAAGGCGGCCTCGCTGGGGCCCGAGTCTACTTCCCTAGATCTTCCGGGGTACTTTCGGTGTGCATTAGTCAGATCCGGTTGTTGTCTTTTTCTTTGACACCCCCCATGCGATTATAGCATATCCTCCTTTATTTGCTTTTTAGCACAGTCCTGTCAAGGACAGCCATCTGCGTTGGTGGCGTCTTTCCTTCCAAGGCTGCGCTGGCTGCATCGGTCCCCAGACAGACAGTGCTCTGCTGAGCTGCTGCCCCTCTCGGGCCACTCCGCGGAGGTGGGGGCGCCAACCCGGGCTAAACTTGGCACGTGGGAAGCAGGTGGCCGCTCAGAGGAGGCCACGTGGCCGAGGTTCAAGGCTGTGGGCAGGAGGCAGGCTTGGGGCAAAGCTGCCAGGAGCCAGTGCTGCATGCTGGGCTCAGAAAAGGACACCCCAAAGACTCGAGCATTGACAGGAGGCCTCAGGAGTGGCCTGGCCTTCAGGGTCTCTCTGTCCTTTGCTTGTTTCCAGCCTAGGAAGAGAGAGGAGTACTGTGTCTGCTTGCAGAAATTTCACGGGGATCGGGGAGAAGATAAACCCTGGTAGGAAGGCAGCCTGGGAGGGGAACGTTCGCCCTGAGGCCCAGCACTGCTCGGTTCCAGCCGCCGTGCTCCCGGGCCCATTCATCTGCGCAGAATCACTACTCGGCCGTTTCCCTCTCCTGCGAAGAGGACACTTCAAGCCTCAGCCCTCACTTCTGCGGTTGGAGGCCTTTGGGCCCGGGTGCTGTGATTCTGCCCAGAAATAAAACTTCCCGCTCCCCCGCCCCTGCCAACCTGCCAGTGTCAGTTTTTTACTCAGACTGAGAAGATCGAGTCTTCAAGGGGGAAAAGAGAAACATTAAAACCGCTCTAGGACGCCTCAGATTTAACTTGAGTTTTTCTCTATCAGTGAACGGGGTGTAAGGCGGCCGTTTTGCGGGAATGCTTGGGATTTACACACGTTTTGAGGTCCGGGCAGTAAGCGCACCGTCTCAGCACCTGCTACCCTATTACTGCGCCCTGGGCCTTGCTCCCGGGTCCTCTGACGATGGCTTCCGAGGCCCAGCCCCGCGGGCCCCCATCTTCGGGTCGGGGTCACCCT